GTGGCTTGTTAACATTTCTATAAATAATAAAAACTGAAATTACTTTATGTCTGATCTAAGTTTTGCTGGTTCGAAGGTAGCACAAAATAAATGTAAAAAAGACACTTTTTAGGTCAACAATTAATGTTAAACAATTTCGTAATAGTCCATGTAAAATTTGCTTATACCTAACAGAGTCTAGCTTAATTAACTATTAAACCGAGGCCTCGAAATACCCAGCACTATTTTTTACTCGACTTACAACAAAGGGTATCAAAAGGCAAGGGCAGAGCAGCGATCTGCGATCAAAGAAAAAAAAAATAAAAACAGCGGTCACAGCAGAGGCCAACACACTAACAACACATCGAGTCGTGGAGAATCGGCAACAAAAACATATTAATGAAATCGCTTTTAACTCGTTTCGCTTAAGTATTTTATGTGTGTTCGTGTGTGTGTGTGTGTCTGGCATGGAGACATGCCTCCTCATATAGCCTCCCCCCTTATGGTCTGTTATAAAAGTGCAACAACAACTTAATACAGACACACACACACTCGCTTCAAAAAATAAAAAAAAGGCAGCACATGATAAAAACAAACACGATACGATCGGGAACAGCGATGACCCAAAGTGGCCAGTCCACAATGCGAGTACTAAATGAAATTCAAGTATTAAATATATTATAAAAAGTATTAGCCTGTCCCAAAAAAAAGGTTGTATTTTTGTTTATTGCTTGGAGCAAGTGCGTCAATTTTATTTGTGTGTATTTATTTCGTTGATGATTGTGTCAAGCCACTTGCTGAGCTTTAAGGCTGGAGAGTTGCCAGACGAACCCAAATAAGGTCGTGATTTATTTTCCAGATTTTTGGGAATAGATTTTGGAACCTATCAGTCTTGATATTGTGAGAATCAGCCACAAGAAAAGATAAAAGCTTTATAATTTTATACAATTCAGAGCTGTGTCAAAATGGCCAAGTGAAATCTCCAGGCAGTGCTTCATCATTGTTCTTATAACTTTTAAAATCATATTACAAAAGTCCCAGAATCATTAAAGTTCTTCAAAGTTTACCAAGAAAATTTTAAAATAAAATAATTTTTCAGAATTTTAAGATTTTAAAACTGATTAAGAGAAATTTCTTTAGCTTTTAATGACCTTAATATAATATCTGCTGACTCAAATCAAGAAATTACTTATTCAATCTTCAAAGCCTTATTACATTTATATATAAGCTTTAAGTTCTTAATAAGTTCTTCATTATTCTTGTGAAATTTGGTCACCAAATCAGTGTTCCATTTGAAATCTTAGCCTAAATGAAAATGACCCCAATACCATAAAAAATATGGCCTTATCAACGCAACAGCAACAGATAAAAGTGAACTAAAATCGAAAATAAAAAAAAATGACTATGTCATTGCATTTATGGCACCGCGACACTAATAGATTGGATTTTTCTTTGGCGACTTCGGGGAAATCAAAAGCGTTGTGTACAAATCACTGCTTCCGTAAAGAAACACACATATCGAATTTGGTGCAAACCGTGGCAGCACAAAATGATGTGTATACCAAACACGGGCGAACAGGTAACAGAGGCGCTTAGAGCAACTGGTTCACAAAAGACCCGACCAACCGACCGACCGACCAAGAGTCCAAGACTCTGCGCCCGAAGGCCAGGCGAAATCAAAGTAACCAAATACAAAAAAATAAAACAAAAAAGTGAAAAAGAAAAAAATATAAAAACTGCAGACTCGAGAAATAACGTCGCCCAGTACATATGGAGATGGAAAAAACTCCATGAGACGGCCAGCAGCGTCGTCTTCGATGGCCGCCATTGTCTCTTTTGGAGCATGTGTATACAGACGTGCATAATTGCTCGAGTATTTGTGGCCATTTTTGGATGCGAGTGTGTTTGTGTGTGGAGGAGGTCATCAAACTATGACGTCGCCCAAAGCAGACCCAAGTTTGCATTTCCTCATCTCTGGATATAGCGCCTTCAAATTGTTTTCTTGCGAAGAAAGTTTTAGAAACCACTGCTGCTGCTGTTATCGCCGGGAACACACAATTTCCGTGTTCTCTCCCCCATATCTGGGTTAATTGATACGCTGATAAGGCTGTGTGCAGTCATCATGCGCCTGGTTTAGAGTGATAATTGTCCAACAACCATGGCGAAAAACAAAGCCACACCCCATGGAACAGCCAAGAGATCACGTGTAAAAGTCACAGCATCCCTTTGCGGGCCATCTGGCAACGTGCGCTTGAGCTTTTGGGGTCCCAATTAAAACCTAATCAACGATTTCAAATCTCCGAGGGCCCAACATCAATTGCTGCCCTCGCACACGCTATTAAAAATATATATATATATATATATATGTACTTAAAATATAAATAAATACAGTGGTCACTGAATACCAGAACCGAAACAGGGCAATATTCCAATCAGAGATAATGAAGCTAATAGGCATAATATCACAATAAACACTTTCTTAAACTCAGGTTAAGGCTAAGGTACACATTTAATAAAACAATAGTTTAACTGGTATAATATTTAGACTAATTTGATCTCCCTATTAAGAATATAACCTTTAGAATTATAACTGTTACAGGTCAGTATATAACAAATAACTATTGCGACAAAACTTGAGGAAAATGGTATTTACAAGCTTATTGTGATTTTTTTTTGTATATATATTTTTAATTACAAATTCTAAACAGCTAAGAAAATATTCTCACAAAGGCCTCCCTTTGGGACTGCCCACTGTATGTGAAAATCATGAAGCCTGAGTTTACTCTGGAGATAAATCAAATTGGAATTTGCATCAAATGGAATTGAAGTGACGTCAGCGCAGAAACCTCATGAATAGGATTCTCTGCCAGGAAACCGTTAGCCCCGCACATCCGCACACCCACACTCTCTATCAGACACACACACACACCCACAGGCAGACAATGAGAAACCTATAGCGATGGTTCGTTCACAGGTAGCTGCTGCAATGAAATTATATAAAGTGCGCATTTAGCATCACCTCCTTGTAAGAATCTCCACTCAGCCCGCTTCTAGTACGCCCCCGCTCAATCCGCTCCACCTCCTGGCCCCGCTCTCAGCTGCTGCGTCAGCTGGACCGGCATCGGCATGAACTTTTTTTAGCCGGCGGACGAGGAGGCGCACGCCCAAAAACAGTTGCTTTTTTCTATAAAGAAAAATGCCCAGCGCAGCACCCCGCACACACGCACGTACACTCGCACACTCGGCGACCCACACACACAAACACTCATACACATGTCACATTCTCTACTTCTAGTACCTACCACATTTTTTTTATGGATTTTTCCGCCACGTTTTTCACTCGCTTGCCGTTGGTCTAGCGTTGCGTTTTTGATCGCAAATTAAAGGTAACGGTGTTACCTGTCGATTGGTAGGTCTTTCAGGTTGATATCCGGCCGATTTCTGGGTTTAAAAGCGCCAACAACTAGCGCAATGTGCTCACGGCGGCTGAATTTTGCTTCTGCTTCTTCCTCTTCTCTTAACACCGCTGCAGAATGAGCGGTGCGGCGAGACGGCGAGAAAGGCAGCAGAGAGAGACGGCGAATTGGGAAAGCAACAGCAAACACAACAACAAACCCAGCGGGGCGAAATGCGGCGTTGATGACGTTTATAGCGCCACCCACCTCTTTCCACTTCTTCCACTACCTTCCAGTTTCCGCAGTTGGTAGTTGCAACGAGCAACAGTTATTGCCAATAACTATTACGAGTATAACTAGAGTCAGCATTTCCCAGAGACACTCGGTCACTTTAAAGTTGGACTTGTTTCCAATAGCCAAGCGCGAAACGAGCTGCTGTTCAAGTTCGAAGTGTGTGTGTGTGCCGCGATACTTTGCTTCTTCTACACACTTTGTTTGTTATTTCACACACGCTTTCGTCGCCGCGTATCGCAGCGTTGCTTTTTCAGTATCAAAATTAAATATACCGCGCTATGCCTATTTTGACGATTTTCGCCCTCGGCAGGTATTTCAAGCAAGACTCGCCGCCACACACTCGATCGCACACACACACATATGCACATCGACGTTCGCCCGGCAAACGTTTTTTTGTTGTTTACAAAAACAGAGCGGAATAAACAAAAAACAGCTGTTGGCGCCGATGTTATCGATAGGCCTGAATATCGTCCCTGCACCTGTCTAGTGTTGCGCAATTCGGTAAATAATCGATTTAAAAAGCGAATAGTATTAATAGTATTTTTGATTTAATCGAGGTTTGTAACAGTATTATTTAGCTCTAACAGGTGTGAAAAAAAAATTAAATTTAAAAAAATGTATATCTATTTTTTGTTTTTAAACCACTAACAAAAACTAGCTCTCCAAATTAAAATGATAGTTTTTTAACTTGGTTATGATTGATTTCCAATTCGATCTAGGTGCAAGAGTATACAAACTTCGGCTGTCCGAAGACAATTTTTTGTTTTGATTGGAAATTGAGAAATATTAGAAATATTATTATTACTGAATATTATTTATCTGCCCGATAAGCATAACTCTCCTCTCACATCGTAGAGATGTGTCTCCTTCCAAAATGTAATAAAATGAATAATTTATTCATATCTCACTTGATTTTTTGTATATAGCATCCTTTGCACTCTGGACCAACTCTCTTGAAGGCTGTGCAACTGAAAAGTGCATTGAACTGCGGTCTTGGGAAAGGACAACAATTTCGGCGCTTGTCTGGGAATCCAACGCATTGCCAATTCACAAAGTCCATGGCAAAAAATAAAGGGTACGTGAAAAGTACATAAAAAACAGGAGCAGGGAGGGGTAAATCTTGATTGGTGAGCAGAAAGCCAGTCCTAATTGCATTTGCAGCCGCACAATTGAGTGATTTCTTGATAAGTCATCCTTCTTTCATTCCAGCAAAAGGGATGCAGTCGCAGCACGAGATATTGCAGATTTTTCGGGGCTTATGCAGCGGTTTTATATAGTAATTTTTTTTGGCATTTCACTTATGATTAATGGACGCAGGCAAAGGCAAAGGGGTGGAAACAAAAACAGTCACATTTAATTCCATACGATCGGAGCTGCTGAATCAAATATCAATTATGACAAACACCTCGTAGTGGTTGGCCGTCGTGTCCTGAACAATTTGCATCGCCGAATATGTGATTGCCTTCACCTCGGTGCCCTGCGGATGCTTTCCCAGCTCAAAGGGTTCACCATAGCAGCGGCACGATATCTCAAAAGTTTCCATGTCGAACTTGGTGATCTCCAACTTTTTGCACACCAAGTATGGCTCGGCGGAGAAGAGGAACAGCAGTTCGTCAAGGAAATGGAACAGCAATCCCTCCAGATCATCACCCTTCGCTTCTATCTCAAAGCACTGTTCCACGGATACGTACTCCAGTTCGGTCATATATCCGAACATGGCCACGCCACATTGTTCAAAGGCTTCCTTTAGACTCGTTCCCCAGCCGTGGAGTCTGTAAGTAAAATCATCTATATTATTGGAAATCGTAGAAAACTTAAAACCGCTTTCAAAAAGCCGAGATAATATTAGGTTTAAATACATACAGAAACTTTGTTTTATAAGATATTATTAGATATAAGTTTGAGACATTCATCGGATTTTGAAGGTAACATTTAAAAAAAATGTTATTTCTGTTTATCTCGGCATTCTCCCAACAATTATTTCTTATAACTTATAAATTATCAAGAAAGAAGCAAAAAAAATTAAATATTAATGTAGAGGTTTTGCAAATATTTAAATTGTACTTCAATTAATGAATCTAAAAAAAAAACATTAGCCACTGGTTTCAGTTTCATTCACAAAGTATCTTCCTAATTCTTAAAGTAACGCTGACAAGATTTTTAATTTTATTTCTTAGTAAATGTGCCGTAATTATTATATGTTAATTATTCGTAATTATTATATGTTAATTATTATATAATAATTACGAAAAATTACCGAGCATGCAATTACCTTTTTAAGCGCTTGAGAAAATTGTAGTTTAATAGTCTTAACAACTTTTTAAGAAAAAATTTCAGATATACAAAAATTTAAATTAAAAAAAACAAGAAAGGAATCTAACTTTGTTGCAGTTTGCAATCGGATCACTAAGAATCCAGCCATTCTGGTCAAATTAATGGAAAAATAACAGATTATATATAAAAGTTGTATATTTATACAAATTTAATAATAATTTAGTTTTGATAAAAATTTTTGAATTTTGATTTTGAATCGTATAAAATAACTATATTTTGTATTTTAAATATCTAATATAATATAATATATATATACAAATATATATGCTGAAAAAAAGTAATAACAGCTTTTATTACATTTATATATGTACATACAAACATATATATTTAATTTACTTATATTTATGGCAGCTATCCGATTTTATTAAATTAAAAACTAAATTCTGAAATAATAAAAAGCTCAAAATGTTGAAAATTTGTTCTCTATTATTTTTTTTCTATTAATTATAATACCTTTCAAGGGTATAATAAATTAACTAAATTACTTATGTCTTTATTTTTATAATTTTTAATAGACATTACAGTTAACAAATTTAACTAAAAAAAATAATATACGAATAAATAAAACAAGCAATTTATTTAACATTTCTACGAAAGACAAATCACCTCCATAACAATGTTTACCCCATTTATTTTCTTACTCAAAAACATTGAACCACCCTAATCCACATGGTCGCCAAAGCGCCTTTGGTTGTTGTTGTTATTACTCACTGCACATCGGCGGTATGATCCAAATCTGTAATATGGTGAAATACTTAGCAACAGGGTTTTTAGGTAACACTAATGTGTACTCACATTCGTACTTCATCTCAGGCAGGAGAAAGTTGTCCTTGCTAAATTCCACCTCCATAATTGTTAGTTAAATAAACACAAACTTAGCCGCTAAATAATAATAAACAAAACTTGGGTTAAAGCCAGTGTGGCCAGATGCAAATTTTTACTTTTAACCTAAAAAGTTTGATAAATCCATAAACTGTCCGCTTTCTGGGCACACTTAAACGCTAAAACCTTCATGAACGCGCGGTCTGGCAACGCATAAGTACCAGACTTAATTATGACGTTAAATGGTAAAAAACGTAAGCTTTTCACGTAATAAAAACTGGCTGCAATAATAAGTTAGTTTATAATATAAATAAATAAGTCTGTTCTTATGGAATTTAAGATTTAAGAATTCCGAATTAAGTTAATTTAAAATACAATTTTTCTAAAAAAAAATATATATGTTAATTTAAAATGTAAATATTATAAGCGAGGTAAAACTGTAAATTGTCTTATTACAAACTTGATTAATTTCAAGCTTTCACTTATTAGATTATATCTTTTAAGAAATAAATCCTGTGTCAGTTAATTTTAATTAAAGAAAATTCCGGGCAAAATTGTCTTTCGTCATTTTGTACTACTTTGATTAATTGTAATAAAAATACTTTGATCAATTATATTAAAAATCATACAAAAATTTAACAATTAAATTATAATATAATAAAGAAATTTGAACCGAATCTAAAGCATTTAACGAGCCTAATTTGCTTTGTCACTTTAACTTCCTAAAGCTCTTTGGAACACATTTTAAGTGCCGTTTTGAATTGCTGTAAATAAAATGACCTTGTCCTTTCATTAAAAACTGCAATCAGCCCAATAACAACTGAAGCTGCACAACCTTGTGAGATCCATTTGGCAAAAAGTCGTCCATATAATCTCCATCGTCCGATTTTCTGTCAATCGCTATATTTCTGAGTTGAGCGTCGAGTTGAGCACGCGCAGTAGTCAATCAAGTGAAGCCTCAATTTATTCAGCTCCGTGAACTTGAATGCTGCTGCTGGTGTCATTGAGTACTCGATTTGAAACATCCAGACGAACAAAAAATAGCCATAGGCGGATATTGGGCGTGCCTAATTAAATTCAGATCACTTTTCGGCCAGCGATGACTGGTAATAGCTGAAAGTGAAGGGTAAAGTAGGGTTGTCTAAATTTCATGTAAAAAATATGTCACTTTTTAGATGAAATTCTGAAAAATGCTGTTAAATAGAATTTGTATTATTTATTGATATAACAAAATTGCAATGTAATTAGGTTTTTTAGGCCTAGCTAAGAGACTCCTCAATAATTAACATAATTCTTTAAATTCTTGGATTTCGTTTTCTGATTAATTTTTAATTCAACAAACTTTTGAGATATTCTATAAAATTAAAAATCTTAAAAAATGTATCCCATTTCCTTCTAATATTTCTTAAATGGTTAATCATAGTGTATTTTTAAGCCTCCTCATTTAAAACTAAAAACCTTTCTAGACGCTTCTTAAAATATTTATGAATGAATTGGGCTGTTGATTTACGACTGTTTGCTCCGTTTTGTGGGTGAAGTCGATAATGAGGAAACGCGATCAGCTACCCGACCCATCAGAGGATGTAAAAAACTTGAACGCAAGTTGACAAAGCTTGGGAGTTGGTTGCTCCCGGCCATTATACGGCTTTCAAACATATTTTCCGGCTATTTTTGTGGCCTTTTTCGGTGGAAGCTCTTTTCGGGTTTCTGTTACTTTTCGTCTCGGTGCGAAAGTCTTTACTTTTGGTCAGTTGGCTGCGGCAGCTCGACTGAATCACACGTCGCGTATTTAGCTCACCTAACTGTACAAAATATTTATTATTATTCTCGAATATTTGTGCGTACGGAGGAGTGGGAGTGTTGCCCGAGTTCCCCAGAAATTCCGCTTTTGGACTTGCGACCCTAAAAAAACAAAAAAAAAAATGTAAATAACGCAGAAGTGACTGTCCAGCTGTGGGGGTTGCCCAACTAAACTAAGCTACTATGTACTAACTTGTTTCCCCAGCCACTGACCGTTGGCCAATGCAATTGCAGCCGCTAAAGTGAACAACAATTGCCAAATGTTTATCATACGTTGCAGCTAGTGGTTGTTGTTGCTGCTCCCGTGTTGCATGAGTGGCTGTCTAAATGAAAACAAAAGTTGTTGTTCGCACCCGCAAGTTTGTGTCTTGTTCAAGTCTTTCGTTTGCCCAAAAGGCCCTTAAAAGTGTTGTCATATATACACATATAATATATTTGGTAGTTATCTTTTGTGGCTATTTGCTGCAGTGCTTAGACAAGTAATAATGATGTCGCCTTCATAAAAGAGGTCAAGTGCAGGCGGCAGACAAAAAGATTACCAAACATGCGGCATGAAGATGGAATTGTCTTTAAAAACATGGGAAAAATTATTATGGGGACACGAAAAGAAGTTTTCAAGCTAAGGTTTTTTTTTTTTAATTTTTTAAAATAATAAAAAAGCCACAATTGGTGTGGAAAACAATGGGGATGTGGAAAAATTAATATGGAAAAGGCTTTCAAAAACTTAAAAGACAATTTTTTAACTCTGTTTTCGTGAAATTCATAGAATTCGGAATTTAAATATCCTTAAATTAAGTTTCCTAAAGGAAAACAAAGTGGCAAAGTTTTAATTTAAAAGTCATTACGTATTTGACTTAATAATATATGTTTAAAAAATTGAATTACTAAAAATTGTGCTTACAATTTAGAAAAAGATAAAATATTAAAATCTTACTAAATCTAAATACTAATTAGATGATTAAAAAATATCTAAAATATAAATAATATATAATATATAAAATATTAAAATACTTTTGCTGGTGTGATGAAAAATTAAAAAATTCAATTTTATCTAAAAAAGCACCCTGTTGTATGTTATATTTTATTAAAAATATAGGGAAAAATATAATTAAATAATGTAAACAATTTAACAGACAATTTAAGAATAAGAATTTAAGAAAATAAAACGATTCATTTAAAAAGTAGTAGTAAAAGTAGGTTTTAAATTTGAAAACCCTATTGCACAAAAAAAAAATGCTGTGAATGAACTATAAATAATTAGTTAAATAAAAAACCTTAATATTTTAAATTTTAAATAATCAAAATAAATTTAAATAATTGTCTGTGCAATTAAAATTGTTCCAAAGTTACAGTATCTTAACCCATTCACTAGACACTTGACTGATAACAACAAAACTAGTTTTTCAGTAAAGTAAAAGTGAATCCCAAATGGCACTCAAACTGTAATATGCGGAAGCTGGTGTAAAGCATTGTAAATAAAATAATAATTAAACGAAATATTGCAGACAAAAATTAAAAAAAATTCAAAGACAATTATCAAAAGAAAACGACTTAAGTTAATTTTAATTTTATTGTTATTGTATGGGTAATTATATTACTTAGACTTTCCTTTGAAATTATCAATATTTTCGTCAAGTGCCATCAAAAATCAAGGACAACATTTGAGCAAAAACCGGTGGCGCTTAAAGCCCACAAGAAAAACCAACAATAAATACACAAGTAAATAATTAAATATAAACAAAAACGAGCAAAGACAGACAGACACATAAACTAACTCTTTGCTTTTGCCATTTACAGACGCCGCCGGCAAGCACTGCGAGCATGTCGCTGCAATGCCCCTCAAACTGTGTCAGGTATTTGGTTTACCTGATGGTGATCTTCCTCTTCGCCCAGCACCTGGCAAATGCCTCTAGTCAGATCGACGTGGATGAGGATCTTAGGCACTTGCTGGGACGTTGTCAAAGCGTCGGTGAGGATTACAACGAGTGCATGCGGCAGGTGTTTAACGATCTCCGGGCCTACTTTACAACAGGTGAGTGAGTGATTTAATTGCATAATAAAACAAATATTAAATATACTATTGCAATACTATTTCAGGTGTGCCCGATTACAATATCAAGCCCTTTGATCCACACCACTGTACCTATGTGGAGCTGAGGCGAGGCGACTCCCAGGGCATTGGCAGCTTTCGGCTGACCTTGCGCAATGTCTCCGAGTTCGGATGGTCGCGATCCGAGGTGACCAAGTTCCATGCCGACCCCGAGGACCGGCGTATAGTCTATGCGCAGTATTTTCCAGAGAAGAGCCTCGAGGGCGAGTATGAGTTTGCCGCCAAGATGCTGGGCTCTGAGATGAAGCGGAAAGGTCACTGGAACTTGACGCTCTATGACTACAGGTGAGCATCGGAGTTGAAATATTTCTATTTCATTATACCCTTACAGGGTAAGGTAATTTTAGTAAGAAGTTTGCAACGCAGCGAAGGAATCATCTTCGACCCTAAAAAGTATCTAAATTATCTATCAGCATCAACAGTCGAGTCGATCTAGGCATGTCCGTCTGTCAGTTTCTACGCAAACCAGTCTGAATGAAACTTTGCAGACAGTCTTCTGGCTAATTCTCACTACTATATATGTCAGAACTGGCCGGATCGGACGACTAAATCATATAGCTGCCATACAAATTTTTGACATATAGCACTTTTATAAAATTTCAGAATTTCGTTTTTAATTTTATTTTTATCTTATAACTGCCATAGGAACAATAGGGAAATTAATAGAAAAAAATTAGAACTTCGATGTTTTTCAACGTATTTTTATCTACTTTGAGATATGAGCTTTTGATATTATTTGAGAATTTTGGTAAAAATATTATGAAAATCGGACAACTATATTCTATAGCTGCCATAGAAGCGATCGATAAATGTAGAGAAAATTATTTATTATTATTATTATTTAATTACTTAAAAATTTCCAAATACTTTTCACAGTCAAACCACCAGCGTGCGTCGCATCGGTGACCCGGGCTCCCTGATCAAAGTGCACGTAGAGGTGGATCGCATAGGCGGCATGGAGCTGCACATTGAAAACCTGTTGAAGGGACAACCGCTGAACCAACTGGCGGACGGAGTGATCAATAGCATGTGGCAGCTAGGGCTGCCCTTTATCAAGCCCATGATAAACGAGCTGGTGAGCTCAGCATTTACGGACATCTTCAACGAGTCCTTCCGTCACTTTCCCCTCGAGAAGTTTCTCCCACACACCTCAGCTAGCTATTAACTATTAACTATTATGTTTTGTAGGATTTATTAACCGAACTGTTGCTTTACAAAGGCTAGTTAATTAATTAAAAGACACCTTAGACATCGGCCAAAGTGCTGGCTATCAATTCGTTGTGGGGCCTGGGCTTTGGCGGCTCCAGGGCCATCAGAGCGAGGGTACGACCAAAGAGTTTCCTCAGCGAGATGACCACGTACGAGGAGGTCTGCAGTTGTTGATCCACCGTTTCGTACAGTAGCTGGTAGGCCTGCTCCAGCTCTGGCGTCAAAGGGGCTAAAAAATCGATTAAAATACAAATAAGTTTCCCCTTTGATTCCCTCAAGTTTTCACTTACCTTTCTGTTGCTGCAGCTGCTGCTTTCCCAGGTCGAACATGAAGCGCAGGTAGCAGAGTTGATTGTATAGGTCCCGCTCCGTATACTGGCGCAACAGGCTGCCGCTCCGGCACTTCTGGCACAGCGGCCGGCGCATCTCCTTTTTCAGGGTGTGGGTGCGGGTGTTGTAGTTGCAATCCGGATGATCGCACACCAGCCAGTTCTTGTAGAATCTCTGGACATGTCGCCGGATGGCAAGCTGCAGCTGATTACGAACGCTGGCCAAATACTGAATGGGCGGAGTCTGGCACTCGGCATTCGCGCATTGCTGCAGCACGGGAACGTGCGAGTTACTCGCTCCCGGCCGATAGGCAGTGGCCATCAGCTGCTCCGTCTTGCAGGCCACGCACTGGAAGCGGAAGGGCTCGCACTGGCGGTACAGCTGGAGGGTTGTCTTGAGCAGGGATTCCCCCTCCGACTGCTCGGTGATCTCGCGCTGGACTCTGGTGAAGAGAATCGGGTAAGGGATGAGGGTTAAATAATAAATGATCCTCCTACCTTTGTGCATTCTGCCGGAACTTGGTGGGATCCATGCCCAGACACTCGGCAATGCGACTGGCATCGGTTCCCTCGAGCACCTCCACCATGCGCGTGACCACCGGATGAATCTGATGTCCCAGATAGTAGTCCGTGTCCAGCTGGAGCTTCTTCTCTTCGCCTCCGCTCTTCAGCTCATCCATGTGATAGGCCCGCTGCATGGCGGCATTTGTGGTGCCATCCAAACAGATCACATAGTCCACCATGTCGCCCTTTTTGTAGCGTCGATTCCGCTCCCGGTTCATGCGAAGTGCCACCAGGACATGGGGTAATGAGGCACTGTTTGCGTATTCCTGGGGTGCACGCGTCAGCTGCTTGGTGATAACGAAGAGGGGCAGCGGGACAGCATCCTCTGCTATTTGAGTTTTGATCTTTTCCAGCTGGGCATGAACCGCATCCAGTTTCTCCTCCAGCTGCTTCTCGGCGAGCACTTCGTCGAGCACGGCCTTGCCGACCATTACGGCCAACTGAGACCAATCGCGTCGGACTATATCCAAGCCCTTGTGCTCCTGCTCCCGCTTCAGGTTACCCTTTGAGTCCTTGCTCAACTTGACGGCGGCGTACTTCTTCTTCTTCAGCAGAAGCAGGCAGGAGAAGACCCCGTCGATATCCAGCTCAAGCTGCTTGTACATCTTGTTCACGCTCTGCTTGATGCTGTGGCCGATCTTGTACACCTGATCGTAGTCCGTGATATTGGTGTTGATCATCAGGGAATCGGTGTCGCCGTAAACCACATCGTAGTTCAACTTTTGCACCAGCTGCTGGGTGTTTGTGAGAATCTCCCGGCCCTTGTGGGTGACCAAGGCCGCCAGGTGCTGGGCAAAGAATCTGGAGTGGGCGAAGCCCAGGCAACCGTACATGGAGTTGGCCGTAAGCTTCAGGGCCATCTGACGAATGTGATACTGCATCTGGAGTTCGGGCGAGAGATCCGGCGCTGCCATTAGCTTCTTCACCTCCTTTCGCGACTCCACCAAACGCTTCAATTGCAGCGGCAAAATGCCGGGATCGGTTTTCGAATCCGGCAGCGTGGGCAGCTCATCCGCATCCACGGGCTGTTGGACCGTGGTGAAGCATATGTTGTACTCCTGAATGATGCTGGGATACAGTGAATTGAAGTCCATTAGCAGAACAAACTTTTCGTAGAGTCCTTTTAATGGCTCCAGGACCAAGCCGCCAGCATAGGCGGCACCCTTCTTCCTGGCCGGCAAGGTGGCATCTGCACCGGCCAACGTAGCTTCCATATCCCCACCGCCGGCGCCACCCCTCCTGGCAGGAGCCTTCTTGTCCGGCACTATATAGTTCTTTTCATGGAAGGCATGGAGCAAGAGGAACTCGTTCCTTTCGGAGCGACCACCTTGTAGGGTCCTGGTCATCGTGTTGCCACAAATATTGGTGATTTGTAGGGCCAAGGGCATAATGTTGAGTTCACACATCAGTCGGAGCAGATACGAGTTATCCTGCATCGTGAGGGATATGAGTTTTGTGATGCTCTCTCCCTTCTCGTACATCTCCAGCAGATCGTCGGCATTCACCTCCATTCTCTCCGACTCCTTCAACTTGAGAACCTGCTGGCACAGAGTCTGGAGGTCATAGGACCTAGCTCTGATGCACTCCTCCGCCGAACGCTTTACATCGCAGACCATTCGGCCCACGAAATGATCGAGCAGACGCTTGCCAAATGATTGCGTCATCCGAAGACGACCCATTCGCGACCACTGGGGTATTTTCAGCGCCACGATTTGATCGGTAATCACATTCAGCTGACAGTCCATGGCATCGAAGGTCACTATGAGATCCGCATCAATTTGCTGGTACTGCGCCAGAAACCAACTGAGGAGCGCTCTCTCCGAATCGTGCTTGTAGATTTTGGTGGACTTGTATTTGGCCAACTCCAGGTTCAGGTCCAGGGGCCAACTAACCACCGCAGGACGTGTCAGGCCACACATATGACGATTGAATGCCGGCTGTGGGGCAGGCCGATCGATGTGGAAACGATTGTGTGCCAGCATCGAGATCATACATATCTCATTTCTCATCGTTTTCGGGTTCATCGAGGTGCGAACATTGAGGGCCAGCAGGGTTATTGCCGGGGGTGGTGCCGGCTTTCCCCTGGTCTCCAGCACCAATTCCACATTCTTGGGCTCCGAAAGGGTCACCTCGGTCTTGCACCAACTCATGGGAGCGGCCGAGACCTTAAAGCCACTTACCTGCAACCAGCACGGTCCCTTGATCTTTCGATCGAGCAGGAAACGTTCCATGGCATTGGTGGTGGCACCAAAGATATGAGCAATAGAAGCGTATTTCTCCCCAGCCGGCAGAGTCGGTGGCGGTGGCTTCTTGCCATCGTAGTGGACTTCCAGGTAATCACACGTCTGGGGCACTTCAATTCCGATGGCATGGTGGGCGAAACTCTTGCTCACCTTGCGCGAACGAAAGGATTCCAGTTTAAGGCCACTGGCCACTTGGCTGTCGAACTCCTTGTAGATGTCCGCCACGGTCACCTTTTGATTGGTGGGCTCCTTTGAAATGGGATCGAGTAGCTGTAACGATAATTGGTGTCATATTGATTAGAAATGTAATAAAATTGAAAAATAACAAGAAAGGAAGCTAACTTCGGCACACCGAAGTTTGTATACCCTTGCAGATTGGTTTTGATATTTATATTATAAATTTAAATGCTGAAAACACACACATAACAGAGTTTCATTACATTTTATCTATACTTATTATGTTTACAGTTTGACAGTTACAGTTTTACATTCCCAGCTTTATATATTTTATACATTTACCGATCGTTCCTATGGCAGCTATAAGATATAGTCGTCTGATTTTCATAAAATTTTTACCAAAATTCTGGGAAAATATAAAATGGCTATATTATGCAAAAATGTTGAAAAACAGCCAAGTTATAATATTTTTTCTAAAAATTTATCGAACATTTGTATGGCAGCTATATGATTTAGTTGTTCGATCCGGCCAGTTCTGACATATATAGCTTTAAAACTGAGGGACTAGTTTGCGTAGAAACGGACAGACGGACGGACAGACGGACATGGCTAGTTCGACTCGGCTGTTGATGCTGATCAAGAATATATATACTTTATAGGGTCGGAAAGGTCTCCTTCACTGCGTTGCAAACTTCTGACTGAAATTATAATACCCTGTAAGGGTATAAAAACCCCCATTGCGTTTCGATTAAGATATTACATTTCGGTTGGTGATACTCTAATTGAATGTATGCCAGACACATTTAATTCCCAGCATCCTAGCAATAGTTTAAATTTCGCTTCTCAATAAATTGATTAAATGTGTCAATGTGATGGCCTAAAAGAAACTAATTGATTTTTACGATCGAATCGAACAGCAATAGCTGTTTCAAGAGCCTACAAGCATCTCTTTGGGTGAAGCTTCATCAAAATTCCCGCACGTTTTCTTTCATTTGAGTTTATTTCGAGTTAAACCATCTCGCTACTTTATAAAGCTGACGACTCGCTGGGGCTAGTTTCAGTGTCACCGAGAACCATGAAAATACACAACGCACAATTGATTTTCGGCTTCCTTCTGGTTTCCGTTGTTAGGTGAGTGTGGGAAGAGTCTGCAAAGTTTTTGACTTGTAAATGTTTCTTGAAAATGTCAGATCAAATGGAGCCAATGGCCGCCTGCTGCCCATGGTGATCAACACTTGGAACTATCCAGTTGCCAACATAGAGGCCTGGCGCGTCCTGAACTTGAGCAAGGGCGGCCTCGGACAAACACGCAATGCCGTGGTGGAGGGTATATCCGAGTGCGAGACGCAGCAGTGCGGAAAAGCTGTGGGCTACGGCGATCGTCCAGACGAGCAGGGAGACACTTCATTGGACGCCCTGGTTATGGATGGCAGGACCATGGAAATAGGTGCTGTGGCCGACCTGAGGCGCATTAGAAGCGCCATCAAGGTAGCTCGGCATGTTCTGGAGCACACCAAGCACACCTTGCTGGTGGGCAATGCAGCCGAGGACTTTGCCAATGAGATGGGATTCCAAAACGAATCGCTGGCTACCACTGAATCAACGGAAATATGGATGAAGTGGAAGACAAACAATTGCCAGCCAAATTTCCGCAAGAATGTCCTTCCGGATTCGAAGATCTCCTGTGGGCCGTATTCGCCCCTGACCTCCTGGAAGGACGATAGCAGTCGGAGCGAATTCGAGATCGGGCCCAACAACCATGACACCATCACTATGATCGCCATCGACGAGGAAAGTAACATCCATGTAGGTGCCTCAACAAACGGTTTACATTTTACGATGCCCGGTCGGGTAGGAGACTCGCCAATTCCTGGAGCTGGCACCTACGCAGATAACGAGGTAGGAGCCGCCATAGCCACCGGAGATGGTGATGGTAATAAGTTCTATGCAAGCCGCACCACCAACTACTTACGTAAGTCAGCCCCGTGTTTTAGTTTGATTTTCAGTGTTTTTTGTTTTTAGTTAAATGTGCTAGGATTGATGCGCAGTCGATAAACCACAACAAAACTTATGCCCACCTCAGCCACCAAGAAGAAAAAGCGAAAGTATATAGAGCAGAGACCCCTGGAAACAGTAATAATTATAAATAATAAATAATAATAATAATAATAGTCAGACTTCCGATCACAACTAAACTAACTCTTAATGAAGAGAGAGAATAGAGGCGTCCTGAATTGGCAAGGACGAGACGTTGATAGCAGCAACGAGAGCGAGAGTAAAACACATTAAAATGTAATTTATATTACCTCCTTAGCAAAAATCAATAACAAATAATGAAAATAACAAAAATAAATCAAATAACAAACTAATAACAATGTTTTCTAAATGCATATTAAACTATTGATAAATCAAGGCGAAATAAAACAAAATATGTACGTTTAAAGTAATCAATTTATAAACAATTTAAAGCAGTTTTTGTTTTAGTTTATAATTTTTTTGTACTCGAGAGAACTCTTCAAAACACAAACACACTCTTTATATATATATAGACATATATATTTTATGTTAAATGAAATGAAATATTTGCTCGCTTTTCCCCTATACCCCCTCGAACCGTAAATATACAAAACCTGATTTGATTTGTGGTATTATTTCGAACGATCTTCAGTTACTGTGCGTGTAAAATGTTTAAACTTTAACCAAAATTCTTAAAAACCAATTTTTGATGGCTCCCTCCGAGCTCTCTCAGATCATCTGATGACGCAATGTACAAATTGGTAAAGTTTAGGCACTTTCAACAACCGCGATCCTCCGTACCTCTTGATATTTTTCCCAAAGCAGCGCAGCAAATATTTCCCAAAATGAAAACCCCATCCCAAACATCTATCCCATTTCCAAGATTCCCCAAAAAAACTAAAAATTTATAGATTGATTGATCCTGATTGTAATTTTTGTTTACCCTGCAGTTCCAGAATTCCTCGCCCGTCCAATTCCTCGCGGTATGTTCGAAAAACAAAAACAAATTACATGGGCCTCGTTCAGCGAAGTTCGAAACAAAATAGCCGAAACAAATTCTACCTACGCTCGGCTACTGCCGAGGGCTTCACGAAGTTCGTTCTTCATATTTGTTATTGTTTTCGATCTACGTTCGGAGTAGCGGTTGCGAGAATTCGTAAATTAGAGAGAGATGGAGATGGAAGGAAGGGAGGAAAGAAAACTGGTGTCAAAAACAAAGAGTATTGCACCGACGTGAGAATGACCTTTTTAAAATAAGTAGAGTTATCTAAAAATATTTAAGATTATATTTAATTAATTTTTACGTATAAAATCGTGTGGGATATAAGCACGTAAGAAAATGTGCTTTAGACATGGCCGAAATGTTCATGTTTGATTATTTGCCCTTTGTGAATCTAATTGCAAGGCATTGCCCTGTCGGCTATACCCTAACATGCGCGAGAATTTTCGGTGTTCGGTTTTGTCTTCTAATTCTCTTTGCATTTTGAGTTGACTGCTGTTGCATTCAGAAGTGTTTTGCGTATTAGTTGCGTAAAAATGAAATATTATAAGGTAAGTGGAACTTATTTGCATTCAATTATTAATTTTAATTGCAGAATTGACGATTAAAATGGATGCGACTTCAACTTAGACGGTGTGAATGGGATTCAGTACGGATTTACAAAGTTTTTTTATCCAGTTTAAGTTGGTATGTACTGCAATTTACAATTTGATTAAAAAATATGTATGTACTTATGTATTTAATTTACAGATAAAACAAGTTTCTTAAAGGACCCAGCAGCCGGCAAAGGAGACTCGTGACACGCATATATACATGTTTAATTTTGCAGAAAAATGTAATGCTACCAAAAAAGTGAAGATAAATAAAAAAATGCAATCCATAAATAAATAAGGAATAAATTCATCGGATTTTTACTAGGAAGGGGGGGGATTTTTCAGGAATTTTCTATAGATTTTCATCTGGGATTCCTGGCGGATTCCGCTAGCGAATCCCGCAAGATTCGTCCACGATTCCCCCTGTGATTCACGCGCGATTCGTCGACGATTCGCCCCAGCGATTCCTTGACGATTCGTGCAAGATTATCTTTCGAAATTCCCGTGGACCTTCCCGTGCGATTCGTGATGGATTCTTGGGCGATTTCGAATTACAGGCTGGGAGCACATTTTGTATGGAAATTCCTAGCCGAGTTGTATGAACGTTCCATGGCGAATCCTCATGGAATTATTTCGGTTCCATGGCGAATCGTAGGGGAATCGTTGACGAATGGAACTGAAGGGTAACTTAAATATACACACACTTAGCACACTTTTGTTTATGCCTAATTTGTAATGTGTAATATATTATATGTATACTTTGTACCTTCTTATGTTATACACCCGACTCCAACCCTCCCCCTTTCCACTTTCCCCACTCGCTCCACCCACCCCTCTCTCCTACACACACACACACACACATATATATATATACATTTTGGCAATTCAACTTGAATGTCTACTTTTAATGTAATTTAGTTGAATATTTTAGTTGATTTTTATTATTATTATTATTCGTACTCCGTTCATCGTGCTACGTGAACGGGCCACTAAATAAATTTAATTGTATTTCAATAAAACAAAACAAAAAAAACTACATGTAATGATGCGTTTCCTGCCTGCAATGCTCGCCGTGGAGGCCATGCGAGCGGGTAGCACACCGTCGGAGGCATCTAGGTTGGCCTTGCACCGAATCTTAAAGCATGTAAGGGACTTTGATGGCGCAATTGTGGCCGTAAATCGCCTAGGAGAGTATGCAGTAACCTGCCATGGAGTGATGGGTGAGTTCTCCTACATGGTCAGCAGTCCGGCTATGCCCAACCGAGCGACGCGAAAGGAAACGATCAAGTGTTCAGCAAGAAAATAGGAACTAGGAGCATTCATATTTTTTTTTAAATAATGCGTACGAATTTCGCATTTCAAATTAAAGAAATTCCCATTGTATATATAACAAACAGATTGAAAGGAAACTAATAAATAATAAATATATTGAATGATACTTACAAACTGTCGCGGCAGCAAATAGAGGACCCGATTGATATTTTGGACTCGGACACACACAGACTTTCCATCGGCGGTGCGTCCAAAGAGGAAGACTTCGCCGGGCAGCTTCACGGGATCTTCCCAGGCCTCCCAGTACCAAAAGCGAAGCTGCTGCTCGTTGGAAGCGGAGGTTGAAGGCTCGGACTCTGTCTGATCACCGGCAAGCACTGACTTTTCAAAGTCATCGTCCATTTGGCAGATGGACTCCCAATTGCTGAGTAACTTGCTCATGTCCTCGGGCGAATCATCAGTGGGTGGTTCCACCGCAATCACTTTTTCTGATGATACCTTTTCCGTTGGCTTCTTTTCCTCTGCTGCTGGTTTACCCTCATCTTTAGGTTTCTCCTTTTCCACATCGAACTGGTTCTCGTCGTCGTCCAAACAACTGAAATCCATATCATTATCGGAGAAGGGATCTTCGCTTGGTATCTCCTTCTCCTTGGCAGCCGCTACATGTTCCTTTTTAATTTGTGCAGTGGAAAAGGAGGTGGCGACCTTTTTATTGGGCACCGTTGCCTTGGGCTTGAGAATGCGTTCCAGCATCTCGTGATCACTGCTAGCCTCCGCCTTCTTTCTCTCCTGCTCCTGGACTTTGATGTTGTTGAGGAAACTGTTCATGTATTCCTTGGCAGCGGCGGCATCCGATTTTCGCGAAGCAACTGCAATCTTAGCCGGAGCTATAACCTTTTCCACCTTTCCGGTGGCCTCCCCTTCTTCGGACTTCTCCTCCTTAATTTCGCCCAGGATATCAGCAAGAATATCGTCGTCTTTTACACTGTTTTTGATGTCCACTTTTTTGGGTACGGCGTTGCTGAAGAGATTCTTAATTGAAGCCTTGCCCTTGGCGGGTTTCTCCGCTTCCCTTGGCCTCTTCTTGCCGTTGGCCGGGGCAACTACCTTCTTCCTTTTTGAATCTTTTGGCTCTTCATCAGAGTACTCATCTTCATCTTCGAAGAAATCGCGACCATCTTCGGCGTAGCCAGTGCCATCTATAAATGAAGGGCATTGTCAGCACATGTTTTGGTGGACTCAACCTGACCCTTACTTACCCTCTTCGATCCAATCCTCGCCGTACTTTTCCTGTGCCCTCTTGGCGTACTCCCGCTCATCCACCACCTCGTACACATCGTCCACTTGGTCCTCCACCTGGCATTTGTTCTTTGTTCCCTTCAGCTGACGCAGTCGCTCCAAGGCGGCAAACCGACCATTTTTGTCTATGCGCTGACGCTTGACGCGCGGACCAGCTAATAGAAGGAGTAATCAATAAACACAACATTCATTTTTCTATGTAAAGTACTTACATGGTGATTCGGACATTGAAACAGCTTGATTTTTGTAGATTTCGTCGTGTTATTGTAAGAATTTGTTTTTTTTGCAGCTGGGTTTAGGCGGGAAACTTGCAGTATGACCGCAATGCGATATCGATAAAAAAAAAACATTTTCCCTATAGACTAATACCATTACATACCAGCTTAGTTTATAGAAATACCAACAATGCCTTTCAGCTTTATACCTTACGAAAAACAGAATTCGACACTTTCTTTTTGACATTCTATTCAGAATTCAATCTTTTTCTACATTTTCGTCTAGATTTTTTAGCTACCATCACATTTGACCCCGTGGGAGTTGGCAGCACTGCACACCTGTGTGAGTTGGCAGCACTACAACCCTTGCAAAAACCCGAAGAGTTGGCAGTACCCGTGTGAAAAAAACCTGAAAGTGAGTCGGAGCTGTTACTTAACCAAATTTTTGATTTTAAACCACTTTTTCACTCCTGCCAGCCATAGCCATCATGTTGAGAATCACCGCACGTAGCCTGGCCAGCGCCATGCGCAGCACCATGATTCCGACCTCGTCCCGCGTGGCGGCCGTGCGCAGCCTGCATGGCACCGAGGAGTCGGCGGAAGAGTTCGACAAGCGCTACGAGAAGTACTTCAGCCGCGAGGGCATCGACGCCTGGGAGATCCGCAAGGGCATGAACGACCTGCTGGGCATGGATTTGGTGCCCAGCCCCAAGATCATCGAGGCTGGTCTGCGCGCCTCGCGTCGCGTCAACGACATCGCTCTGGCCATCAGGTGGCTGGAGGGCTGCAAGGACAAGTGCGGCGACCAGAAGGCCACCCTCTACCCCTACTTGCTGGAGAAGATCACTCCCACGCTGCAGGAGCTGGGCGTGCCGACCCTCGAGGAGTTGGGCTACGACAAGCCCGAGCTGGCCCTCAAGTCTGTGTACGATGCCTAAGCCTCTTGATTTAATTTCAAAACAGAGGAACACACACACACACACTGCAGACACAGTAGCTACACCCATCCTATGTATGGTGCGGATGAACATGTTGTTGGATTGATATAATAAACGGAGACTGGAGTGGATTGGAGCACACACCAACGATGCGTTGTTTCCCTCTTGGTGGTTACGTAATGCCCAGGTTAGGGGGATAAACAATCGGCGCCAGAAGCTATTGCAACAAATTCGTTTATTTCCGCCAACTATTTCCACTTGGCAAGCAGCTCGGCCGCCTTGTCCAGGTTCTCCTGCTTCTTGATGAAGCAATAGCGCACAAAGTCCTCGCCCAGCGGCTTATTGGGCTCGCTGTAGAAGGCGCTGGGCGGGATGCCCTGCAGGCCCATATTCTTGGTCATCCACTTGGTGAACTTGTAGTCGCGATGCTTGTCCGGCTCGGAGCTAAGGTCCACCTTGTTTGCCAGCGGCGACCAATCGGCCAGCATGAAGTACCCGCCCTCGGGAATAGTGGGACGCATGCCGGCGTCCGACAGGAATTTGGCCATGTAGTCTCGCTTCTGCTTCAGTTCGCGCGGCAAGCTGAGAAAATAGCTCTCCGGCTTACCGAGGCGGGCCAACTCCACCTCAAAGCTGCGCGCCACGCCCTCCTGCAGGGGCGTGGGACAGGTGTACACGGAATTCTGGTGGACCATCTGCAGGTTGCGAATAAGCTGGGCGGGTCCGTAGGCCCAGCCGATCTTCCAGCCGGTGACCGAGAAGGTCTTGCCGGCCGATCCCAGCGTGATGGTGCGATCCCACATGCCGGGCAGCGTGCAAATGCGAATATGTTCCGCCCCGTCAAAGACCAGCCACTCGTATACCTCGTCCGAGACGCACAGCACGTTCCATTTGCGGCACAGCTCGGCAATCCGCTCCAGCTCCTTTCGGTTGAAGACCTTGCCAATGGGATTGTGCGGGGTATTGAGGATGATCATCTTGGTCTTTGAGTTGAACAGTCCCTCGAATTCGGCATCGTCCAGCACCCAATCCGCCGAGCTGATCGGTCCCTCACCCTCCGTCTTGCGCTGCAAGTGGATCATATATATAGTAAATCGGATCTTCTTCCTCCCATTTGCCTTACCAATTTCAGGGGAATGAAGCGCGGAACTCCACCGGCCATCTTAACCATGGGCTCGTAGCAATCGAAGAAGGGCTCAATGATGATCACCTCATCGCCCACGTCCACGTGCCCCATGATGGTGGAGTACAAGGCTTCATAGGCGCCCGACGTGATCAGGATGTCGGTGAGGGGATTCAGCTCCTTGGAGACGAGACCGCTGTACAGCTTGGAGAGCGCCTGAACCAGACGAACGTGTCCGTAGCCGCGGGTATACTGATGCAGGAGCGGGTTCTCATCCTTGGCAATGTCCGCCAGCGAATGGGTCACATACTCGGGGGCGGCGTCATCGGGAAACCCCTGGCCCAGATTCAGCGGCTTATACTGCATGGCCAGGGCAATGTACTCGTTCCAGACGCTGGGCGTGCTGCCCTGCAATCGCTTAGGAAGATCAAACTTATCCATGTCGCTACAGGTGGCGGCGGTCTTTTGGTGGCGCTTAACTTGAAACTGGAGCTGATCCCGGAGGCTTCTCGTGGCAAGGCGGCGGCAACTGCGGAGCATCTGCAAAAGAGGGTACGAGACCTTAGTGTCGGAATCTCTTCCTTTTCGCTAATCGTCGCGTGTAGATTTATGGCGCAGATAAGCACGCACTTTGTTGTTGGTCTGTCTGGGTGTCTGATCTTAATTATTAGCTAAAATATCACTTGTTAAATGCAATTGCTTGAGTTAAACGCTGGAGTGACGTTGCATAATGTCACTGAAATCTGATTAGACCAGCGCAGTGTCTATAAGAATAAGAATTTGTTTAGGGCGCTTACACTCACACACACATGCAGGCAATAATATGCAAATAAACAAATACAAATTAAGAATTTTAAATTATTTTAATGGGACCAAGCGTTAGGCACAAAATACTTGATGCAAGTTGGCAGCTCTGATCCTTATCAGTGCAAGCTGCTTTGAATTGTCGCTAAAACTTTAATTGGCAACTGAAACCTTAATCAATAATAATAATGATTATACAGTTGCTTATTACGAAATAAATTTAAAATATAAAAATCCCTTCAGTGTTCCATTGCAACCAGTGCTGCCACCCTCAATATGGAGTGAAGCCAGGAAACGGAGCTGCCAAAACGCCAAAATTATAACGGATTGTTAAAATTTTAAAAGTATTGAAGAATTAATAACTTTTTTAAAAGGATCGAGAGGTGATTTTATAAAACTTACTTTAAGTATTAACCATAATCAGGCACTTTGAAAGTCAAAAAGGAACCCAGTGGCTTATTTATGTAGTTGTTAAAATACTAAGTTCGATTTATTCGTTAGTTGTAAATACATATTCATATATGCGTACATATGCGTGTGTAGTGTGTATATATGTTAATATTTGAAGTAAACTTAATAGTACAAATGAAAGACAACGAGATGAGAAAGCAATAATTACTTTGGGATACGCGAACCGCACAGAATTCTCAATACATTGCTCGGCGGAGCCGGATTCTACTTCTTCTTGCTCTTGCCCAGGGTGAGCGTGTGGTGGGCGGTGGCCAGCTGCTGCTTGCGCCGCTGGAAGTCGAGGTAATCCTCCTCGAGAGCCTTGCGCGATTCCTCCAACTTGCGCTTCTCCTCGGCATGGTCCCTCTTCAGCTTCTCGAATTTGGCGTGCAGGTCCTTCTCGCTCTCCTTCAGCTCCGCCTCCTTCTCCTTGACCCGCTGGACAAACATCTGGCGCACCTCCTCTTCCTTGGACTGCAGCTCGGCCAGGTGGTTGGAGCGTTTGGCCTCGAATGTTTGCTGAAACGAGATCGGCTTGTTCTCGCTGTCCACATCGCTGAAACCCATCTGCTCCAGCCGCTTCTGGCGGTAGAGCTCGTAGTGGCGCGTGTGTGTCTTCTCGCGCATGTCCTCCATGTTGGTGCGAATGAGCATCTCGCGCAGCTTCACAAAGTCGCAGTGCGTCTCGTTCTCCACCTGGACTGTGCCCCAGGGATACTGCCGCGCCCTTATGAGCTTGTTGCCCACCTTGATGAACTCCGTGCTGCCGACGACGGCAAAGGGAATGTGCGAGTTCATGCTGGTGTTCGTCTCGGCCACCGTCTCGTCGTCGGTGGGGAACTGGTAGATGTGCACTCCATTGGTGTTCAGTTCCTGAATGATCTTCGCCTTAAAGCGCTGCAGCTCCACCTTGGAAATGGTGTCGGCCTTTGCGATCACCGGAATGATGTTGACTTTGCTGTCCAGCTTCTTCATGCACACCAGATCCAGCGACTTGAGGCCGTGTCCCGTCGGGCAGATGAAGTACAGGCAGATGTGGATGCGACTGTCGTGGCACGTGACCAACGAGCGCTTGATCTTCAGCTCCTCCTGCAGATAGTTCTCAAACTGGGCGTCGATGTAGTCCACCACCGCCTTGAACGAGTCGTCCTTGTTGATCTGATCGCCATAGCCCACCGTGTCGCAGATGGTCAGCTTTAGCCGCACGTTGCTCTCTTGCAGCTCGTATGTGTGCGCCTTCAACTTGACGCTGGGCAGGGTGTGGGGGCTTGGCGTGGACTCGAAGCTGGTGTTGAACAGCGTGTCCATCAGCGTCGACTTGCCCAGTCCGGTCTCGCCTGCAGAGGGGAAAAAGTGGAAACGGGGTTAAGTCTCGTGCGGAATTACTGGCTTAATGGGCTCAATTGGTGCGGCGGCATTGGTGTCAGGGTGAAATTATAGAAAGCAGTGTCGGAAATCGATTGTGGGCACTCTGCATACTAATCATTACAGGCCGTCTGGCTAGCGCATATTCAATTGTTTACCCATGGATATCCAGATGGATGATGTGCGCATGTATGCATGTACATATGTAGGTGATTCACTTTATCTGAGCAATGCACTCCAAAAATGAGACACTTGAGAACGCACACAACTGCGGTTGAAGTAATAGGGCTAAGGAGTCACTCACCCCTGCTCTCTTTCTTAATTTTTTGCTTAAAAAATAGATTGCTAAAAGCGCATTAAGAGTTTACAAATAATTATATTAATCTAGTAATTAATTATGAAGCAAGAGTCATACAAGTTAATGCCAGTTAGAGTCAAGCCATGGTTAAACATTTTATTGTTATTCCCACTTTAATGCTAATGTCAGGAGGGGAAATTATAGAAAGCGGTAACCTCAAGATCATGTCTGGAGCTAGTCAATTGCCCTGCTCTGTTTTACAAGTAAAACTTCGGTTGATTCACTGTGCCGCATACACACACTAACACACACACTGCACCCGATATACACACCTATGCACATGACGTTGAAGACAAATCCATTCTGCACACTCTTGTTGACCAATTGGTCCGGCAGGCTGTCGAAGCCCACATGGCCCGACTGCTTCAGATTGCGGAGATGAACCTCCTTCTTGTTGACGAAATCCACTTCAGCCGACATTTTCCAATAATCTAAGCCAAATCAAAAAAAGTATCCCGCAAAGGCGTCGCCAGCGAGTCTGTAGCAGTGTGACCAAAGCAATTGGAGACGGAAAAACCAGCGAATTTGATAGGAAGATTTGGCTACTTCTTGAGCCCGTCAGAAGGGCCTTTTTAGCCAATTTTAATTATTTTCCCTTGTAGCTGCGTTGGTAGTGTTTCCTTCAAATATATTTATAAGAGATTACCGAATTTTACCACTGTTCTCTTATAAAAACAGTGCCATAAAGCAAATGTAGTATTTAAAGCCGATTTTAGCTTCATTTTAATTAGAGCTGCTATTCTAGCTTTTTCCTAGCATCGGACTAAATGGCCACACTGCCTTGCTGATGTGTCTCCGTCTGTCAAAATTTCCAAAGCACAAGGCGAAAGTTAAAAGTCCGCTGTTTCGATATATTCTGCCCGCGAGACGAAATCCCTGAGTATACAGGATGTCCAAGGACGCCAACCCCAAGGAGGCGCTGATCAAGGCGGCCTATGCCGACGTGCACAAGTTCGGAAACAACCGCGAGTTCGACAAGGCCGTCAAGGCAGTGAATCGCAGTAAGCTTCAGGGGTCTCACCGAGTTTATCCCCCAAACTAGCACACTTTGTTTTCCAGTTCTTGGAGTAGCGCCGGATGACCCCACGGCTCTGCACTGCAAGGTGGTGTGCCTGGTGCAGTTGTCCAAGTTCGAGGAGGCCTACAAGTTCATCGAGAAGAATCGCCTCTCGTCGCTGGCCTTTGAGAAGGCCTACTGCGAGTACCGCCTGAACAAGCAGGTGCAGGCGCTGAAGACCATCGACGACACCGGCCTGCAGCCTCTGCCGACGAACCTGAAGGAGCTGCGCACTCAGGTGCTGTACCGCCTGGAGCGATACGATGAGTGTCTGGACGCCTACCGAGACATCATCAAAAACACCAGTGACGAGTATGAGGACGAGCGCCGCACCAACCTCAGTGCGGTGGCAGCTAACCTGGCCGTGGACAAGAGCAAGGAAGTTCCCGACGTGCCGGAGGATACCTATGAGCAGTACTTTAACAGCGCCTGCATCCTGGCCAACCGCCAGAAGTTCGTCGAGGCGGAGAGGAAGCTGCGCACCAGCGAGAAGCTCTGCCGTGAATTCCTCGAGGAGGAAGGTGCCTCTGAGGAGGAAATCGTCGAAGAGGTGGACGTCATTCGTGTCCAGCTTGCCTACGTTCTGCAGCTGCAGGGCAAGAGCAAGGAAGCCGGCATCATCTATGCTGATTGCTTGCGCCACAAGCCCAAGGATGCGGCACTGGTGGCCGTGGCCAGTAACAACTCGGTGGTGATCAACAAGGACCAGAACGTCTTCGACTCGAAGAAGAAGATCCGCGCCGCTCTGGCCGATGCCTGTGAGCCGAAGCTTACCTCGCGCCAGAAGCAGGTCATTGCCCTGAACAACTGCCTGCTAGCCCTCTATACGAACGCCGGCGATCAGGTGCAACAGCTAAGCCAGAAGCTGGCCCAGAGCTACCCACAGGTGGAGTTCGAGGCTTTGCTCATCCGCTGCAGCCAGCTGGCCAAGGACCGCAAGCATAAAGAAGCCATCGATCAGCTGCAGAAGTTCGCCGCTGCGCACAAGTCGCACGAGTTCGTCAGCAAGTTCGCTGTTATCCAGCTCCAGCTGCTCCAGGGCAACCGTAAGGATGCCATTGAGACGCTCCTCTCGCTGGGCGAGGCGAAGTTCAAGCCCGGCATCGTGTCCGCCCTGGTGTCCCTTTATCTGGGCACGGACAACAAGCCTGCGGCCTCGGCACTGCTCAAGTCTGCCGTAGACTGGTACAAGAAGAACAACGTGAGCAGCGGCGACCTTTCGGACATGTGGCGCCAGGCAGCTGAGTTCCACCTGCGTGGCGGCGCCTCCGAGACGGCTGCCAGCTCGCTGGAGGAGCTACTTAAGCTCAATCCCAGCGACACAAAGGTGCTGGCCCAGCTGGTCATTGCCTATGCCCAGTTCCAGCCCAAGCGAGCGCTTGAAATTAGCAGGAAACTGCCCAAGCTGGAAACGTTAACCACTGCCTCGGAGATCGATGCCCTGGAGGCGGCCAACTGGGTTATGTCCGCCAAGGCGGCCAAGAAGTCGGCCAACGCCAAGATCGAGCCCTCGCCAAGCACGCCCTTGGAGAAGAGGAAGAATCACAGTCGGAAGCGCAAGGGAAAGCTGCCCAAGAACTACAATGCCGAAGTGGGTCCCGATCCGGAGCGATGGTTGCCCAAGTACGAGCGTACCGGTTTCCGCAAGAAGCGAGGCGGTGCGCGAGGCAAGGATGTCATTAAGGGATCCCAGGGCATGGCCTCGGGAGCTGCCGATCAATAGTAAGTACACTGTATCCCAAATCTTTTGATGGTTTCTAATTGGGATTTCTGTTTTGCAGCGACATGTCCAACCGCGTCAATCTGAGCAAGAACTCCCCTGTCACGCCAGTCTACCAGGAGACCACCCCCGGACCGAGGCAACAGCACCGCAAGGGTGGGCACAAGAAGAAGAAGGGTGGCCGTTTCTAAGACCTTAGCAAATGCCTTTATACTTTTGAATCGCTAAAATTATACAAACCAGTTTTGCATGTTATCTTCTCATCTTGTCACTCATCGTTGTCATCGTCTGCGGCAGCCTTGCTGCGCTTGCCATCCGTAGCAGCGGGTGGAGGCGGGGCATCGTCCTTTCGCGTGTCGTACGAGTGGTAATGCAACGTCCCTATCCAGTCTAGCATGTTCCGTTGCTCTGCTTCCGTCTTGTATATCTGGCTGAAGATCTCCCGCTCGATGAACTCCTGCACCTGCGCCTCCTGAGCCTGCCACGTCAGCGGGTTGTGAATGCCATCTTTGCCATAGCGATCGTTGTAGCGCTCGTAATGCACAGTGTCCAACACTAAGCCTAAGCCAGGGGCCATTGGTAGGTCCAGGCGCTCTTCGGTCAGCGCCCGCTCCAAGCTCTCCGTCGTGGTGTTGCCCCTTACAATGGCAATGGCCAGGCCCACCATTTTGCGGATCTGATGCAGCATAAAGCTCTGGCCCTTTACCTTCAGTGTGACAAACTCAATGCCCTGCGGGCTCTGGAATGGTTCGCTGCTCGTGAAGGACATTATGAAGCGCTTGGACGAAGGATCCAAGAAGTTCCTGCAAGTGAAAAGGAGTAGTCGTAAGTGGGAGTAAAGGAAATGGTAAAATTTCGCACTGCAGTACTTCTTGCTGGTAAAGTTGTGAAAGTTTTTCGTGCCCTCGTAGAGCTTTAAAGTCTCCCTGACCTTCTCCAGCAGTTCGGGAGAAAGGCGAAAGGTGTCGTGTAGGTCCTCTATCTTCTCCTCGCACGAGGCGAAGGCCATTGTGGGCAACGTGTAGGTGTAAGTCCTCGCATTACACTGATCCTTTGCGTTAAAGCCCTTGGTCACACGCTCCACGCCGAACAGCCGAATCTGCTTAGGCAAATCGGCGTTGAAAGCCTCCAGATCTAGTTCCTCAGCTGAGGGGCAAATAATCATTATATGACGGATTTAAGATGCAGCTCCAACCTACGCAGCTTGACGGAGCACACTTGGCGGGCGGCGGAGACGCCTTTGTCGGTGCGGGCTGCCCGCTGAAAGCAGGCGATCTGCACCTGCTCAAAGCTGTCTTCCGTGATCCACTTGTGCTTGAGCATCGCCTTGAAGAGTTCCTCCTCGATGGTTTGCATTCCGGGGTTTCGCTGCATGCCGTAGTAATTGGCCCCGCAGTAGCTCAGCAGAATGGCGCTTTTCTTGCGCTTTATCCGGTCGGCGGGATCGAAGGGGGCTCTTTTCACGCCGCTGGCTGCATCCTCCTCATCCTGCGTCTTCCAGTCCACCCACTTTTTCCGCTTTAGATTCCGCTTGACGCGGTTGGTCTCTTTTACGGCCTCTTCTTCCGACGCCTTGGCCGCTTTCCTGGCCTCGTTCTCCAGCTCCAGTTTATCCAGAGCCTCTGACATGGCGGCAGCGAAGGATTTGTGACGAGTAGTACAAGTTTTCAGGCGAACTGCTTTGGTGGAAGTTCTTCGGTTAGCGATGGATATAATTGTGGACGGAGGAGATAATAATTAACCTGCCTTGGTGTATCTGTTTATGATTCGGCTAAGCAACATTTAATAATTAATTATGCAGGTAAATACAAATATTTCCGCACGTGCACTTGTGCTTCTTCTTACTTCTCTGTTAAAATCAGCTGTTTCGTCGAATAACAGAATGTTTGGCGCCAAAACTTAACAGAATTCTTTTAAGAAATTAAATACGTAACGAGCAGATCAGAAAATGGGAACCAATAAATTATTCAAGAAAGAAAGTAAAAATATAAACAAAGTGAAAAATTACTTATCTCCAATTATAAATATTCTTATTGAAGTGAGAACTTCTACGCTTGATAAAATATAATTAAATCATGATTATACGTAAGCCGATCCCTGCCAGACACCACCGAAACGTAATCGTAACCTTGCCAGACATGTCCGTTTAAATAACTTCAAAGTAGAACGGTGGAAAGTGGAACTATAGAAAATTAAGGGAAATTTATAAAACTGAATTGTTGAGCTAATTTTAATTATTATAAATTTATTGTAATATACACGTTTACAAGCTATACAATAAACACAAAATTGTTATGCAAATTATGATTTTACAATAGGTAACATGGCTGAATGACTGAAAAGCGAGTGTGGCTAAATAGTTCACGTAAATTATAGCATTTTATTGCTCAATTAAAGATTATATAGGAGAAAACAGAAAACTTGTTTGCAACTGAGATTTTGTTTAAAAATTAGCGGCTGTGTTTTTTTACGATACATCGATGTTACTGTTCCTCCCATCTCTATCAGACTGCCTGAGTAGTGTGACCGCGCATGAAATGCGCGACACTCTGGCAACGCCGACATGAATTAATTCATTTCAGCCATTTTGGAAATTTTTTGTACTGAAGAAGCGTCCAAGGAGAGAACGCCGTGAGACCGTGTGTTTTCGCAGCGAATTACGGCAATAAAACCACCCGAAACCCACTCTCAACGCGAAAAACAATTGCAGGCGCGTTCAGCTGGCAGGCAAGATGCCGCAGCGTTCTAAAAAGTGACGACAAGATGGGAAAATAGCGAAATTCGGAGCGAGCGAATCGGTCGGACGTGTGTGTGTAAAACGAAAGTTGTGCTTGTCGCTCTGCGAGAAGATTGGTGCGAAGCGGAGAGAGAAAATTTTTTGCAAGCCCGAGTCGAAGGTGAAATGAAAATGCATTAGCATCCAAATGAAAAGCCAAGCAGACGCTGTGGAAAAGGCCAAACGATAGCAACAATAATAAAAAACAGCAAGCGAAAACGTTTTGTGAAAATCGCGTACCGTGCAGTGGCGTTGTTTTTGCTTTCGCTTGCCCGCGTCTGTGTGTGTTTGTGTGCGCGCGCGTGTGTGTGCATTGGAACGGATTGAGGAGCACAACATACAAATACCTCAAAACAAGAACCCCCGAACTGTAATCGCAACGTAATAACCATGCTGCTGGAAGGCGGCAGCTGGTGAACAAGTAACTAGCGCTATAATTAGCACGCCCACATATACCACATTGTACCGCATCCTTCCACGCGGATAACGCACCATGGATCTGGACCTGGAGCAGCTGAAGAACGACTTCCTGCCTCTGATCACGGGCATCAAGCAGGAGCAGCTGGACACGGTGCCCGGCGATGTGCTGCCGCAGATGAATCTGCAGAGCACGGCAACAGCGGCCAGTAGCGGAGCCCCCACCACGTCCACCTCCTCCTCCAGCACCTCCTCCGTGGGCAATCCCTGCGACAGCGCCGAGAAGCGGGTAAGCTAAGCTGTGTGAGCGACCTGGTTGAGGTTAATTTGCTTTTAATCGCACGTGCTCGTTATGCGGCCGTGCCGCCGATAAGAGCCGGTAAAAAACGGCCCTTCGTGCGCTTTGTGTAAACTGTTTTGGTTTGGCTCTCCTTATCACTCAATCGCTGTCGCCCGGTCTCGTGCAAAAAGCATTTGTTATCTTTTTCCCATGCCAATGCAAACAAATAGCCAGCACAGGCTCACACTCGAGCTCACACAGGCGCACAAGCAAATAAACAGAAGGCCAACAATGTAAATGTATTTCACTTTCGCGTCCCAGTCCGAGTTTTCAGTTTGTGAGTTTTGCGCTCGAGTCGCGGTCTCGTGCCGATGGTTTCTGGTTTTGGTTTCCAGCGGTGTGAGCAGATCAGCAAGCTGGCTCTCGGCAAAGGCTGGCTCCCTTGCTCCCATACACACGGAGAGCTAACTGGAGATATATGATGATATATCTCGCCTCTTCCATTTGTATGGAGATCAGCTGCAGCTGTCGCTCTCCGGATGGCCGTTCGTGTGTTTATGCCCGGGAGAGAGAGTGTGCTCTGCCCGTTGGGTCTCTCTCTGGCCGTCGCGCTTGAGCGGCTCTTTCAGCTACAGTAGAACTTCTGTAAATATATCGGTCAACTCCTTATTTTTTACGTCAAATCGTACCTTACATGAATACATTTTGTTGATTAGAAGGAATGTATAAAGTAATTTTAAAATTAATTTAAATAGGACTGATATAAACATTTTTATATTTACCCAATATGACTCATCCTAGAAAGTTTATTATTTTCTTTTGCTCGGACCAAACGCTACTGACTTTAAAAGTAATTATATTCCGTATAAACGATAAACACTACACAATTTAATTAGTAAGGTTATTGGAATTCAATTGGCGGACAATATTTGCAAGTTTGCGTATTGAGAGTGACACTTCTTAGGGTCGAGGCTATCTGAATTCATAATTCTAGAGACTCCAGAAACATAATATTAATCAATGATTTATATGATACCTACCTAATGGTATTATAATTACAAATATATTTTAAGGAATATTTAATAATCATGTTTTTATCGACTTTACAATAGAAACTACCTTCCTATATTAGTTAGGATGTTTCCATAGGTTTTTGTCTGTATTGAAGCTCTTCGGCTGCGGCTCGTGCAAATAAATGTTTGCCTTGAGTGCTGCCTTTGGAGTGGCCCGTCCACTCTCTCACATACACACACGAGGCTGGGAATGACATGCACTCGTTCAGTCCGCCTGTCAATCATGCAAACGATTGTGTTTGCTGTGGTCGGCGGAGGCACTTAGGGCCCCCAGACTCCGAGACTCAAGCCCCTTATCCCAGACCCCATGCCCCAAACTCCAGGCTCTCAAGAAGTCCCGACGTTAGCTCTGCAGCAGAATCCCCTTCGGATCACTTAATGCCCATTTCTGATGTGGGGAAAATGTTTGTGTAACCTTCCAAGTGTAATGTAAATCTGCGGACAAGGTGTCGAGTTGATAAGGAGTAACAGAAATGTCTGACCAATGCACGGGGGCTCGACTTTTATAAAGTTACTAATTCGGTTGGTATACAGTGGCGGACAAAAATCTCGAACATAGCTTTCACAGGAAAGGTAGTGATGCAGTTTTGTTTTAACTGCAATTACTACTTACTTACTTACTTACTTACTACTACAACCAAAAATTCAAAAAGTTTAAACAAAAAATCAAAAAAAGAAACTGACTAAAGTGAACTTACGATTTCTTTCCTTGCACTTTTATAATATAATTAACAAAAGTTAATAGTTTTGGGCTACTACGGGCTTTAAAAACGAAGCCACCGAATTATCCTGTTCCAACTTCTCTTGTAGCCTCTATTGAAGGATAGAATCACTATCTATTGTGTGTTTTCGACCTTTTCACACAAAAATGTTCCAAACGGGATCAATAATATTTAAATCCCGACTTTGTGCTGGTGAAGATAATGGGGAGCATACTACAGAAGCGAATCCTTCACGATCTGCGCTATAGGATTGGGAAAAAATTTAAAAAAAAGGGGGTCGTATTTAGACTTTTGCCCGCAGTCAAAGTATGTTTTGGCGCCTTTCAATGCCTAATATAAGAAAATTAACCCCTGCGTATACCAGAGAAAATATTGCACCAAAACCACCCTTTTTTTATACTTCGCTATTTTCTCAAAATTGGTCGTTATGAAAAACTTTTCGTTTTAGAATTAGCAATGTCCGTGTTTTTTTTTTTTTTTGCCGACCAATGTTTGAACTATTCAGCTAATCGTATATGTGTCATATGTTGATTTTTTAAACAATATATTGTTTATTTCCTTATGAAATATTTATTAAGCCGTTTATATTAATTTATACAAAAATGCTATAAAATTAACATAATTATACCTCAAAACTATACATAAATTTAATCGAAAGCTTGTGTTTAAGCATAGTAGCATGACCTTAGTAAAATATCACGATACTTTTTCAATTCTTTTATTTTTTCTAATAAAAGTTTTGGTAATACCCTTTTAATCATACAGCTGTTGTTGTTTCCCTATATACACTTATAGGCAACAACTTTAAAGACAAATCAATTGGTATTGACCTTTATCGGTACGTAGTTAATTGTCAGTTTGAACGTCTTGCACTACCTAAAATTGGCGAGGACAGTTTTATAAATGGACATCTAGTTATTGTACGTTTGTGCTTATGCTAAACAAAAAGAGAAAACCTATAAATCCGTCTCCTGTCAATATGGCGGGCTGAAGTCATTAAAAGTGACAGCTGACATGGAAGGGAAGGGAAGAGTAGTCAACGAGGGTCCATGTGTCATCTCTGAAACGTTGCAGCTGAATGCACTTTTCCAACCCTCGACAAGGCCACAGTTAAGTCTTGCATAAATATGTCCGTAAGTATGTGTGTTGGCTCATGCATGCGACAGGTTGTAATTAAATTGCTTGACACCGTAATAAATGGAAACCCGAAATCGGGCGACGCCATTTTGTTGGATACCGTTTTGCCTGTCGCTTTCCGACGAAACCCGAAATGGATTCTTAGAATTCGCCTTTAATGATGTACAATTAACTCTAATTTGATGAGAATATGCAAGCAAAGCGAAGCGAGGCGATGGCAAAGTGCCGATGGCCAGGCCAGGCCAGGGCCAGGGGCAGGGAAGCATCAACCCACCGAAATAGTCGTTAAGTGCACGGAAAAAAAGTAAAGTTTCTAATTAACTTGATTACCCTGCAATCTGAGCGGAGAGATCTTGGAAAATTCTACTCTTTTCACTTTTCACGTTTCACGGGCTACCTGCCACTAAAACAGACACATCAACATCCAGGTCTCGGTACCAGCACCTGTCCACCTTCCATCCCGGCATGCTTTCATAGCATCTTCTTTTTAAACATCTTCTATTGTCGCTCTTACGGTGGAGCATAGCTAAGTTCAACTAAATTTGAGTTCACTGTGTAAAATATTAAACTATTGTCAATTCTTCTTTTGTAAGCAGGCGTCGTAATAAATAAATAAAGCATATTTTCCCAAAACTTTTCTTAGGCACCTGTTTAGGCTTGGATCGAATTTCATAGATGCAGTTGCACACCTGTTTACTTCTCAATATTAACAACTTTTGGCCAATAGTAGTGCCACCTGCTAGGTTTCACAACCACTTTAAAGCAACTTCTCCACTTCAAAATTGCACTTGAATCGAAACAAAGTTATTATATTTGTTTGGAAGTAACATCAGCAATACTTGAATTTGTGATCCCTTTCCCAGCAGAGAATGTTGCCATTAGCTTGGTCCCACTGTACATCCGAGGTATACACATTTTAATTGCTTTTCCGAGCACTCAGGGGGCGTTAGGCCGCCCTAATCCATCCATCGACGTCCAGTGCGTAATTAAAGTTGACTGCGACTGCGGGATCAGTGCGGATGGATGTGGGCGACGGATGAGGGCGGGGCTTTCTGGCAACATGTGTACGTTGGTCGCACTCCTGTGCGGGGATTAGGTGCTACACAGGACATAATCCGATCACAAAAAGAGGATTATAACGTACAACAACAAATATTGTGCAGTCAGCACAGCAATGGCAAGCGGACCGAATTGACGTAACTTTAAATTGAAGCGTTTGGAGGAGGTGGGATTGTGGGAGACGGGAGACTCTGGCTCTGGCAAAGTTTCATAAGCTGCATAAGTCCTGAGAAACGAGACCGTCTGATTTCCTATCCCTATAGCCCCTCTCGGCAGGCATTCGGAAGGCATATTTTTGAGCTGCGTCAGTGCTTTTCAGCTGCCCTGGCACGCCCCTGAAACGCCTAGACATACGCCTACGCTACGGTTCCGTATCGACTATAATATTGCTGTTCCTGCAACCGCTGGCGTCACGATTTTCGAGCCCCCTGCTAGCTGGGAAGTCTTACCGGTTTGTGTATCTACATCTGCGGGGAGTCGCCATTTTGGAAAATACTTGTGCACACTTTGGCCCATACATATACATATATACATACATATATACGTAATGTCTGTGGATGTCATGGCCTCCGGGAGCAGGAACAATTGCATCGGGCACAAAAAGAACCGCAAACCACAGCAGCAGCAACGGCGGCTGTGACGGCTTTGGTAAGCTCCAGAGACCGAGGGCCACCAGCTCGTCGGACCAACGCAACCACAACGCCCTGCCCAACGCCACCGTCGCCGTCGCCGGCGCCGTCAAGCGTCGTCTGCAGCAGCCCCGGGGTCCAAATCCGGAGAGCAGCCGTCAGCTCAGCCCGTTCATTAGTTTGCGGTTTCCTGGTTTCGCTTCGGTCTGGTCCGGTCCACGTCTTTGGTCCCCAGCGAGGTATTTTCAATTTTGAATTTATACTTGCTGCTTGATTGGGAATAATGATTATTATATTCGTACCTACACGGCAGCTTTCCCAAGTGTCGTCTTCCTCTATAACCAAAGCCTGGGCTTGTTCCTAAAAGCATTATCATTCGTTTAGCATTA